ATTAATAGTGATGGGCACGAGACGAGACGAGACGAGACTTATCTCAATCTCGTCTCGTCTTGTATTCTTTAGACTGAGTCTTGAAAGTCTCGAGACAATGGTCTAGTCTCGTCAGGTTCTCGAGACTTTTCGTCATGTGACCATGGGGATGGGAAGGAACTGTGATTATGCTAATCAATGCAAATAAAGGTTTAATTTCTTTCATTTCCATTTTTTCATTTTCATTTTATTTTTGGGTTGAGGCTAGAGAATTTATTTAGGTGAGGAAAAAAAGTCAAAAAAGTCTCGAGACTTATCTCGCGACCTCCGGACCTGGTCTTGTCTTGTCTTGTCTTGTCAGCCCCCGGGTCTCGTCTTGTTTTGCTAAAGGTCTCGAGACAAAGTTTCGAGACAATTTGTCTCGTGCCCATCACTAGGAATTAAATACCGACAGAAGTATGGGTTTTTCTTTCCAAATCCAAGCCCGCCACCCGCTATTTGCCTTCTATATTTGGGCCATATGATGGAACGAGACTACCGCGGGCCCAATATGTCGATGGATACAACTGGGAATACCAGTATAAGTATCTGTTCCATTACATGGGGGTACGAAGGGTTTCAGCCAGAGTGACGAAATATGTTCCGAGCGCAAGTGCGGGATAATTGAGAGTAAGAAACTGGTCAGGGTACGTTCTAATGGCAGGACACTTGCAATCGGAGGTGCAGGGATAGATATCAGTAATGCCCCCCTTAGAGGACGAACGGGAGCACAGAAATAAAGAAACAAAGATTATATCGGAGACGATAGCTGCGGGTTGGATAGGACTCTAGGTTATAGGTCAGCTGTAACAAAAAAAGACTGCTCTGGCTGGGAGTTGAACCCAGGTTTCTCTTCGATTTTATAATTTTTAATGTTTTTGGTGAGAGTGTGCTGACCACTGCACTACCGGAGCTTGTTTATATGTATGTTGATATGGTATATGACCTGCATGAGTTTTTGATATGGTGCAAAATCGCTGAGAAGAGATCATTGGAGTCCAGGAACGAGGAACAGTGTGAACGTCCATGTTAGCAATGGTTGGGTGTAGATATCGGTTTGAGAGTGAGTGTGGAATAGCGGAAGGTTTGAAATTGATCGAGGTGCATTCTGGTGCTATATTAGCTCAGTGCACTCAGAGGTATACGTTTAAATATCCGTACAGGCTCTTTTGAGTACCAGAGAGCGCACTGTAATAAAGAAACGAACAAATAAACAAGGAAATGAGAGCGTTACCAATGTTCTTGGAAGAGGCTCCAGTGCCTGGATTGAATAAACCCCGAAGTCCCGGAATGTGTCCGCGTTTTCACAGCGTGTATATTTGTTCCCTTCTGGACCGTACTCCCTTGAGTCCTGACCCATATCATGGGCCGGTGGAGGGCCAGAGATCTACTTATTCACTCTATTAAGCTTCTCCGGGGCTGGGATTGAACTCATATTATCAACATTTGCAGCTACTACTATAAAAAACTGTTAGCAGTGAATACCTGGGAGTCCGATCAGCTAACGAAAATGGTAGAATGGGAAAGGATTACTTGGGCATACATTCCCGGCATTGAAAAGTAAGAAGAAGAGGGAGAATCTACAGAGTTCATCTTAGGGGGTAAAGGGCTTGATCCTGTCATTTGTGAGCACTTCGATAAAAGCTGGGAGCTACTTTCATAGGGCGGGATCTATATATTTACCATTCAGTTGGTAGATGGAATCACGGATCAAGGCCCCGATGAGTATATAAAGCGAGGGGAATAGGCCAAAACATGATGTGATAAGAGCAAAACTAGGGCCCCTTATTTCTCCATCAATATCTGGTGCCCTCCGAAAATTGAAATCAACTCGAGTGCTCTTGGATCTCGGGGAGGAGGACTAGGAAGAGGTAAATAGGCGTAGGTATCTGAGGTGAGAATTCTTTGATAAAAGCTTGAGAGTGTAAGGGCTGTTTAATTTGAAAATAGATGCAGTAAGAGATGCATTTAACTTACATCCAATCCCCGTTCATACAAGAGGCTCATCTCTAGTAATCAAGCCCATCGATACCTTGCAACAGGATTTATGCATAATAACCACTTCCATTTCCATCCAGAAGGTTGTCTTTATAGAGGTAGTACAAAGCTGTAATTTCTTTCGTTTTTCCAGATACTGAGATTCAAGTTGTTATTTATGGAACTGTTTTGCAAATCTAGATGTCTCAGCTGGTCTGATACTTCGGAAGTGTATAAATTTCTGTCTGGGTGCGGCAATACATCCTGAATCCCTGTTGCGGCTCTGCTACCTAGCTTTGTAGGTAGTCGTCATCATTCTAATCTGTGTGAAGGAATAATCACATTGTCAGACTTGGTACCCTTATTTCTCTCAATTCTCCCCTCTTCTTCTTTGTTTCGTTGTCATCAATCATCGAGATGATTCTTCCCAACCTCCATCCATCAGGCCCATCACCTCCTGTTCCCTGCGGGTCAAGTCCTTTGGAGGAACCTCAACATCCTAACGCCCAAGCTTCAACATTCTCCTGGCGGAGCCTTCCTCTCCACAAGTCGGTCTGCTGGGCCTGACTTCGACCTCCAGTCTGTGTGGAATCAACACCACTAGAGTGAGTTCCCGGGCTGTTGCTATGAGTTTCATCAGTAAATACTCATCCACTCCATTCTTAGACTCTCCAACCGTTGTTCAGAACAGTATTCTCCCTGGCCTTCCATCATGAGCATCAGAGCTCATCGATTGCCTTTTCTTGGCACGAAAAGTGGGTTTTCTAATCTTATCTTTCCCACTTCCATCTCCTAATATAATATTTTTATTAACACTGGGTGTTGGTTCTCTCTCAAGTTATCAAGGATACAATTAATTTCCACGGAGCATGCCCCCCTGAGGACACCCCCGGAGGCCGGAGTTTATCGCGGAGATATGACAGCCCCTCGACGGATCCTCAGCTGAGGCCAAGGGCTTTTCCTCCTCAAGTATGTCTCCATCTTTGTGTATATTTTATTAATTTAATTCCGTCTGCTAATCACCTGTCTTCGTTAGATATGAGTCCCCGGAGTCGTACTGCGCTGAGCAGAACAGGAGAAGCTTGATCCCTCCACCAGGCTTCTCCATCTGATTGCACCCCAATTTCTCCTACCTCGACTTCGAGATGAGAAACGAATGTCAAAAGAGTGGGGTGCATCCCACCAACCTGCTACCACTGCCCGGGCCAGCCCCTCAATCCCACCAGGATCGGCAGGAAACTCATCCGGGGCTATACCATCTTTGCCTCCCTCGTTGCACCAGCAACAACTCTGTGGGCCTCCACAATGAAACGCTAGTGCACCTCCACTAGGGGGAGTTTTCATATGCACCGGGTTCGGTCGGTATGAGTTTTACTACTCACACATCCTCTTGGTCCCACGACGGCCGAGGATTGGCATCCTGGACAAAGATGTAAGAAGCCAAAACAACGTTCCAAAAGAAACACATACCTTCAATTCCCCACTCCCAATCTATCATCTACACTCTGCACTCACTAATCACTGGTTTCTAGAAATGGACCGAAGGGCTCCCGAAAACGCTCACCCCGAGGATCGTGCTCGTGGTGGCGTGAACCCAATCTTTCGCCCATCGCTGGTGCGGTGTTGATGAAAATGAGGACACGCCTTTGTGGTGCGCTGCAGCAGCAACCCCAGCATCTCCGGCAGCCCTCTTCACAGAGCGACGATCGACCAGCAGCGGACAGCCCCACCTCTCCGCCCTGCCCCACCGGTGCATTTTGCAGCAGCGTAGCCGGTGGGGCTGCATGCACTGGTAGACACTGCCTTCTGGCACTGCTGGGCCGAGGAAACCGCAAGACGAGCGGTGCTGCCTCCGGGCACCTTATAACTTGTTCAGATTAGAAGTAGTTGGGAAACCAGAACAATCAACAAAATTGTGCAGGACAGCTCGTCCTAAGCAAAATGTATTATTAGTGTAGAATAAAAAGCGTTTGGAACTATAAAATGACGGCAGAGAAACTATTGGAGAAGTTATGTGTTTCCATTTAATTAGTGAAGGATCTCCTTGTGGACCAGAATTGGTTACTGTGCTGATTTCAAATTCAAGCACACATCCAAAACATTTACATGTATCCACGACACAGAGTTGATGTGGGTTACAAATTATCACAAGTCATTATCAATAACTTGATCTGAAAAGTTTTGCAAGACCCCTACCTTCAGGTATAGCTGCTATATTCATATTATATGTATTTGTATTACGCCCATTGAGGCTATATTTTTGTGCAATTATCTGCTCAGATCCCACACCATCAGTACTCCCAAATAATGATTATCTATCGAGTCGTTCAATACTGATTATTTTGCCGTATTCCCGTGAGTGAGAAGATGTGGATGGAGTATAGTTTAGATGGGTGGCGGTGTCTGGCTTGAGGCTCTCTGGTCTCCCTCATAATGAAAGTAAATTAAAGAAAGTTGCTCATGTATGACATTATATTTTTCTCTAGCAGACCTGATATTGTACAATTGCTTTGTTCTCCAATTCCCAGCTTGGTCTCGATAACTGCAGCTGAGGTCAACTGTTCCGTGTTTGTGACACAATTCAGCACTGGCGTGGCTTAATCAGCTCAAGCGAATCTCTGTTCTTTTCTTCCCTGTATAAAACTCGTCTGCAGCACCGTAGCCAACCAATAATGCATTGTCACTCCTCCGCCCTGATTCTCAAACATACCTGCTGATAGCGAGATCCTGAGAATCGATAGCCAGAACACGCTTCTAGAATGCTAGTATTACTCCTGCTCAAGTTATTGGACGCATACATCATACGTACATACATGACAATATGACCGTCTCCCGGCTGGCGGCGATATTGGATACCTAAAACTAATTAAACTAATTAAACTCGCAATAATTCAGAAACATTTGTAAAAATGCTTTTCACCCCCAACAGCAACCCAAGCATACACCAACCCCCCTTTCCCTTCCCACTTCTCCATTTAAACTTACTGGTCTGCTAATTGATCACCTCATAGGAACCTCACCGGATATAGCTTCATGAACCCAAATACCTGCACGATACGATCATATATATCCTCCAACGCTATTCTCGCAACATCGCTCACCTCCACATCCGGCACCCCCTCCATATTCCGCCCACACTCCATCGTCGTCGACCGGAACTCCGGCACCCTAAACTCCATCTCCACAAAGTCCAGCACCAAATTATATATCCGGATCATATCCCCACCAATCGACTCCGGCGTCGACGCATACATGAAGCCCCTCTCATGGATCGCCTCCACGATCGTCGGATGCTCACAGGGCGGCAGGCGCTCCATCTCCTCCTCCGGCAGCTGCAGCCACCGCTGCTTGAGCTCCCGTACCTTCTCGAACTTGTTCGAGATGCGGACAAGGGAGCGGACGAGGATGTTCTTGTCGCTCGGCGTGTTGCTGCAGTGCTCGTCGAGGCATTGCACGATCTCGGCGACGCCGCGGCCGAGCGTGTGGAGGACGGTGGGTAGCTGGTCGGCCATGAAGGTGTCGACGAGGGTGAAGAGCGCGTGGGCGAGGAGGAGGAGGTGCTGGTCGAGGGGGGCGTCGGTGGGGTGGTGGGTGAGGAAGACGCGCAGCGGGGGGGAGTCGGCGGGGGCTTTGGAGGGCTTGAAGAGCATGGTGACTTGCCGGGAGGTGGGAGGGGTGTCGGTGGACATGGTTGGTTTTTGCTTCTCGGGGGTTTCTTGGGTGTAAAATGCGTTATTCTTTGGTGGAACAGCTCCATTTACTTTTAAAGGTCAAAAGGAGTTAAAAGGGTTGACGCTGGACTTATATACCCCATATATTCATCCCAACGTGAGGTATAGTCCCTCCATGATTCTATCATCATTATCAACTTCTCAAGGTATTCAATATACAAACAAACATCGGTATCGAGTGCCCGACCCAAACCTTATTTCCTATGTGCTACTGTTTGCCTATTCTACGAACGTTTCCTAAGATGGTTCCATGTGCTGATGTTTCTCTATTCAGCACAAACAGTCCCCAGTTCTATGCGCTGAAACGTCTTTCGATCCTGTGTGGGAGCGGCAGTTATGTTGGCACCCGGCATATGATAAGGTTTGGAAGTAGGTGTAAAGTCTAATGCTTAGAATTACTGGATTCGAGACTCGATACCGTCATAGGCACAGATTACAAGCTTTTCTAAAAGCTGTCAGACAACCCCGCATGCATTTGTTGTTCTAGTACCTGTCGTAAACTATTTGTACCACGTAAATCGTGGTATATCAATATTGTGCTCCCCCGCGAATTGAGTTGTTACAGACAAAGGTCAAGGAGAAAACGAGATAGATTACAACACACTCGAAGTATTTATATCACATGCATGTGAGCATACTCTTGTAAGCGCCCTCACCTACGATTCCTCATGGAAAGCACTCACCACCAAGACACAAGAACGACGAGTGATTATCTATGATCGAGTGATGAGACATGATTAAAGGACCGTTCAATGTCGCGCGTTATTCTATGGCTTTTACATTACGGAGAGTTATCAGATATTGCGATAGAGGGGCTTATTGTAACTAGACTTGTTCACGGTCGGTAAGAACGATATGCTGGTCTTACCGGGGCGATTGCCGGAGGAGGAACTCTTCAGCAGCATTGAGGAGCAATAATATATATCGAGCTTTTAGACCACCTCATCAATGACGAAACCCGAGAAACCACGTATCTCGACTTCCTTTCCCCGGGGCAAAGATGCCAATTTCTTTGATTTCGGCATGTTGGCTTCATATCAAAACATTCACACGATTTCTCATATCAGCCGCACAGTGGGTACCGGTGGACCACCCTCGACAACCCACCCCACCGCCCCACACACGCACAAACCCACCATAACCCACCCCTATCCGCCCCGCCACAGCAACACCACAACAACACCACCTCTCCCAAATACAGCTGCAATCTCATACCACCACCACGCTTCCACACAATTCTACAGAAGAACCACGACTCCGAGGTTCCACACCCGCACCCCACACACCATCGAGACACGCCCCAACCCAAGCTTCCCCACCTCTAGCCAGCCAGAACCCAATACAACCCGTCGCCCAGACATGTCACTGAGCACGCCTCCATCACATACAGCGACGTTGATTCCTCGCTGCGGTACCCCTCCCCCGCTTCTCCATTTCGAACCCCCCCCCCCCCCCCGCGGGGCCAGGGTACACAGCAGAAGAGTGCAGTATCTGCTGCTACAAAGTACCAGTGCACACCCGCCAGCCGCACAGTAACACTCAGGACCACTTCCACAACCCCCCACCCCTCCTTTGCCCTCCTCCTCCCGGCACCCCCACCCAGAGTCACCTCACCGCAATCCTGAACCCACCCTCCCAGGTATCTAACCGGCGCATGCAGCCGACAAAACCTCGCCGGCCGAAGATGCTAGTACATGCATTATCTGCAAGTTGAATCACGCCACCCGCTGCTCCCCCGAAAGAATGCTGCTCACCCCCGACGTGGACCTCCATCGCAGCGCTGTATGAAAGATGTTATGGATCACCAGGGTATATGATAGTGGAATTTGTGCTTGTGTCCGGCTGGCCATGTCTTGCATGTAGCGGTGTTTTGGGGCGCGGATGGGCGGGGGTCTGGTTGTGGGGTGTTTCTGCAGATTTTGGCGGGGGTGGTGGGGTGGTGGTCTGGGTTAAAGGGGACACGATGCTGGGGGGGCCTATAGGCGGTTGGGGTAGCGGAGATTTGTTGGGGCCCGGGGGGTTAGTGGCGGGGCATGGAAGAGCATCCGGGGGTGCCTACACAGGGGGGGGGGGAGGGGGGAGGGGGGAGGGGGGGGGGCATACAGCAGAGAGGGGAGAGATCATTGTCGGGTATCTCTGTGATATCGGATATGTAACACCTAGCTATCGAACAAGGTGTAGGAGACAGGAGAGGTATCTTGAAATAGGACGCTCGACACGTTTCATAGTTCTGGAAGATTCTCATCATTTCATTATAGTATTTGTCATCGGCGTATGACTCACTTTCCTATTAGTCATCCTATTACTCACACGTCTATGACTCATTGTATTTCTTTTGTACTACCTTTCATTAGTATAAATACGGGGCATTCCCCCTTAGCTAGAACAATAACACGATCAATTACTTTACTTCTCCTACATACTTTCTCTAGGTTATGAGCCCGGAGACCACTCACGCTTATACACTCTTCACCATTTTTACCACAAAGTACACTTTCTCGTTTCACTTTCAATCATGTCTGAGAGGAGCATCAAAATTCCCGCACTCCCATGCAAGCTGGATGGTCAAGGCCATTACACTGTATGGAGGGACCTTGCTACCCGCATGTTGAAAGTTCACGATCTGTGGAACTTGGTCAATGGTTCGAGCAAGCGTCCCGTGTTGACAACCACCACCACTACTGTACCTACCACGGCACCACAAGCATCAGGAAGTACAGCTGAGGCTGAAGAAGACGAAGAAGAAACCTCTGACAATGCCGAAGAAATCAGCGATTGGGACAAAAAGGATAACCTTGCGGTCGTATTCCTCCAATCTAACATCGAATTTGAAGTTATTCTCACGCTGACACCGGCCGACACCGCTCACCACCTCTGGACTCAACTCGAGGACAGATTCGATCGGAAAACCGTCGCCTCCCTCCACTCGCTCCTCGCCAATGTCGTCACACTACAGTACACACCCGACAAGGGTATCAAGGAACATCTAACCCAGTTCAACACTCTTTGGTCATCTCTCCTCACTAGAACTAGTAACTCTACAGACAAGACCAAAGACCCACTCGGTTACCACCTTCACCAACTCGCATCTGTCTCAGAAGCGAAGGCATCCTTCCTACTCCTCTCACTCCGGCACGAATCCCTCGAATCAGTCGTTGACAACCTGCAAACCAAGCCCAACGTCACCTTCGATGACGTCTACGAAAAGCTGTTGGATCTGGACTCACGGCGCAACAACGATGGACAGGCGGCTGGAGAAGCCTACACAATCAGGCGAGGAAACCCAGGACACGGAAACAACAACAGAGTCAGGAGGCCACGTAACAACGAAACAGGAAATCGGGACGTCACATGCACCTGGTGCACCAAGAATGGAGAATATGCAAAAGGCCACACGCACAAAAATTGCCGGAAACTCAAAGCTTTCAGAGACAAGGAGAAGTCCGCTGCATCTGGCAACCTCAACGTCGCATCTGGTACTGCATTTCACACAAAACTCGACCTCTCTTGGATCCCCGATCTTTCTGGCCTTCCCGCACTCGAAGAAACCGATGTGTTCACAATGCCGGTTGACTTCGACTTCACCAACTTCTCAGATGACACCTCGGATATTACCATGGAAGATTACTTTGGCTTCATTGCAGGACCTTCCACCACCGATAACAAGGCGTGGATCTTCGACCCTGGTGCAACCAACCACATGACCGGAACGCTGGTTACCGACCCGACTCCCTATACTGGAACAGTTACTGTTGGAGGAGGTCGCAAACTCCAGATAACCGGAATTGGCAACGTAACCATCAACGGATCACATGGCCTGATCACTCTGCAGAATGTATTCTTGATCCCCGAATTAGGCAATACCAACCTGATGTCTTGGTCTTGCATCGCTAAAAAGGGATTCACAACAATTGGGACGGAAGACGGCTTCACCATCTACAAACCGAATAGCAAGGAAATCATCGGGATCGCTAACGCAAATAGTACTGGTCTATATATTTTTGAAACCAAGGAACCCTGCGCACACCTCTCTGCCGCCACCAGCTTCTATGACTGGCACCAACGGCTCGGACATCTCCCCGCTTCCTCGCTCTCACGGCTTCGCACCATGGTCGCCGACCCCAAGTCTCTCCCCACATCTGGTCACATGGAAACATGCAATACATGTGAACTCGCTAAATCAACCAAGTCTCACCTCGCTCCCCTCACCGAACCACAATCCAAACAACCACTGGAACTAATACACTCAGATCTGAGCGGCAAGTTCTCGACTCCTTCTCTGGGCGGTTTCAGTTACTATATCACTTTCATCGACGATTACTCCAGGTACGCTCACCTCTACTTCCTCAAAAAGAAGTCAGATGCAGCAGCTGCCACAGAACGATACATCGCATACATGGAAAATCAATTGGACAAAACGGTTAAACGGTTTCGAAGCGACAACGGTGGCGAGTACATCTCCAATGACCTTCAACAATTTTTCGCCTCTAAAGGCATAAAGCATGAATTCACTGTACCTTACTCCCATGAGTCAAATGGAACAGCAGAACGCTTTAATAGAACTATAGCAACAATGGCACGATCCGCCTTGCTCGACCACAATCTCCCAAAAAATCTATGGGCAGAAGCGATCAACACCATGGTACACGTCAAAAATCGCCTCCCGCACAAATCACTCCCGAATATGACACCATACGAAGCACTTACCGGAAAGAAACCCTTTATTGGGCATCTCCGATCCTTAGGTGAAACCATGTTCATACACATACCCGTCGAAGCACGACCAGCTGGAACAAAACTGGATGCAAGGGCCATAACGGGACAATTCTGCGGATACGGAGACTCTGAAAAAATCTGTCGCGTCTACATACCATCACAAAGGAAAGTAGTTCTCTCTCGTCATTTTAGGTTTAAAGGTACATCCGTAGGGGAAGAAATCGAAGTCAAAACAAAAACCG